GCTGTCACCGTATTTGTTCAACCTGTACGCCGAAAATATAATGAGAAATGTAAGAGATTATATAAACAAGGAACAATATGATGCCCTAAACATCGGTGGTCATGAAATACCAGAAATTCGTTATGCTGATGATACAGTATTACTATCAACATCACAAAATTGTTTAGAAAACTTATTAACCTCACTCCAAAGAAATAGTGAAAATCATAACTTATTTCTTAACACAGCAAAAACAAAGATAATGCATACAAACAAAACTGCCATGGAGAAGGAAATATATGTTAATGAGGAAAGATTGGAAGTGGTGGAAAATTTCGAATATCTTGGGTCACTGGTTACCAACAATGGTGACACAATGAAAGAAATTAAACGGCGACTATCAATTTCTCTTCAAAGACTAAAACAACTGAATAAATTATGGAATTGTACAGATAGAATTACAAAGGTCAGATTTTTAAGAGCATGCATCTTTCCCATTGCAACATACGCCTGTGAGACCTGGACACTTACTAAACAAGCGGAACAGCGCATAAATGCATTTGAATATAAATGTTACAGACAGGTTCTAGGAATATCTTGGGTAAAGAAAAGAACAAATGCATCCATACTTCAAGAGCTGAATATTGAAGAGGGTTGGCTAGTAAAGACAATAAAACAAAGAAAATTGAAATATTTTGGTCACTTGAAACGTCATGGAGGTCTAGAGAGAACAATAATGGAGGGGTATATGCATGGGAAGAGAGGAAGAGGAAGGCCAAGGAGAAGATGGGTGCAGGATGTGGCAGATGATCTCCAGATGGGTGTATCAGACGCAGGACATCTTGCTCATGATAGGAAGGTTTTCCGGAGGATTGTTATGGCAGCGAGGTTCCGCGAGGGACATGCTACTGAATGAATGAATAGGAAGGTAGATGTGTTGTACCCCAATAGGACATCACACAAGCGATCAAAACCCGGTGACACAAAGTGTCACCATACGGATAAGGATCACCCGTGGAGAGGTCCCGGAAACCCCGTTCAGCCGTTAGGCCTCATTTAGGGCCCGACTATATGTAGGTCCCTCGGCAAAAGCCAAGGCGAGGCTTTAGAATGACTAAAAATTGTATTTAACATGTGGACGATATCATAATTAAACTATATTATATTATATTATATTATATTATATTATATTATATTATATTATATTATATTATATTATATTATATTATAATATATTATATTACATTATATTATATTATATTTGTTATATTATATTATATTATATTATATTATATTATATTATATTATATTATATTATATTATATTATATTATATTATATTATATTATATTATATTATATTATATTATATTATATTATATTATTATATTATATTATATTAGCCGGGTCACACGGAATCTGCCCTGCTTTACGATCATGCCGGGTCACACGGAATCTGCCCTGCTTTACGATCATGCCGGGTCACACGGAATCTGCCCTGCTTTACGATCATGCCGGGTTACACGGAATCTGCCCTGCTTTACGATCATGCCGGGTCACACGGAATCTGCCCTGCTTTACGATCATGCCGGGTCACATGGAATCAGCTCTGCTTTACGATCATGCCGAGTCACACGGAATCAGCCCTGCTTTACGATCATGCCGGGTCACAGGGAATCAGCCCTGCTTTACGATCATGCCGGGTCACACGGAATCTGCCCTGCTTTACGATCATGCCGGGTCACACGGAATCTGCCCTGCTTTACGATCATGCCGGGTCACACGGAATCAGCCCTGCTTTGCGATCATGCCGGGTCACAGGGAATCAGCCCTGCTTTACGATCATGCCGGGTCACACGGAATCAGCCCTGCTTTACGATCATGCCGGGTCACACGGAATCAGCCCTGCTTTATGATCATGCCGGGTCACAAGGAATCAGCCCTGCTTTACGATCATGCCGGGTCACACGGAATCAGCCCTGCTTTACGATCATGCCGGGTCACAGGGAATCAGCCATAAAGAAACCAGATCATTGGCTACCTGAATACTGGTGCAACAATTTCAGATATCGCGCCACAAATTCTTGTCTGCCTATAAAATGTTCAGCGATTGCAACAACGTTTCCGGTCAACTGGCGGCGTTAGAGACTTTTCAAGAGCAGAAAGATCAAAGGTGAAGGTGACCACTTAAAGGCAGAACCAATTTATTTGCACAGTTCATTTGTAGGACCCTTTCCAGTCTGCCCAGGGGAAAACGGACACCATTAGTGCAGTATAAATAGCAAGCACGTCTCTGTTAACACTGACATTTTTGTGTGTGCTAACTCAGTCTGAATGACCACATGTACGTCTCTGTTAACACTGACATTTGTGTGTGTGCTAACTCAGTCTGAATGACCACATGTACGTCTCTGTTAACACTGACATTTTTGTGTGGGCTAACTCAGTCTGAATGACCACATGTACATCCACTACGGCCTGTCGGACACCCTCGACTTTAACAACGCCACATCCAGAATAGAGTTGAGCCACATCACATCCAGAATAGAGTTCAGTGGGTAGATGTGACGTCAGATCGTCTTGAAGTTAACGACAGTCTGTCATGTTATCATACAAGCCGAGATTCATGGTAGAAAGACATGATGGCAGAATCAGGGTGTTTAGGCGTCCACATAAACGATATGCGCATAACTGCATCGCGAGGCTTTGAGATTTGATGGGGAAAGGGGATCGGGGAGTGGGAGCATTTTTGTACGCGAAGGAATAACAGAGCCGTTTAGAACACAGCTGGTGACAATTCAGTGGAACATCACTTCGCAGCGCTACAAACGTCATGTCCCGATACCAAATGTTGTGCAATTTTTCTCAGATCTGGACCAGACTTTATTTTTAGGCTTGTCAACGCAACGTCTCATCGGGCACGAGTACAACCATTGCATTTCTCTTACAGAACATCATTATTATTCTTTGTGCTTGATCAACAACGTCACATTGATCGCACACAAATTGAGCATTATTGGACATGCTTGACAGCCATGTCTGACACCTGCCCAGTCCACGTCAAAATATGTTACAGCTTGAAAATAAACTCACACATGCTTGGACTAATCTTCCATAAGCTTCAGTCTCGAACGTAATCTACTCAATGAGGCGCCGCTGTGGAGGTATGATTGTATGCCAGAGGCCGGCACATTGAACATTGAGACTTTACATTTAACCCCCTACTACTGTGAGTATCACCTCGCTTTTGTTTACAAAACACATTTCTTCAAAAACTAATTCCACACTCAAACATTAAAAAATACCGTTTGTCAGAAAACGTGGTTCAGTCGGACACTAACTGGGCGAGTAAATGATGAAAAAAATATAAAGTGTTAATTTTTCTTTTGAGAGAGAGTAGATATTATATTATGATAATCGCGTTTGGTGAAGTTGCTCTGAGATACAGAAGTCAGAAACCAACATGTTACAAAAGAAACCATGTACCAGCACTAGCGGAAGTCGTTGACCGGAAAAGAGGGCGAGTTAGTTGGTGACCACAGACCACCAGCATTCAGCTGAGTACAAACTATTTACCGTGACTTAAAAAAGGATGTGGAATACTGGAACTATGAACACCAATGGTAAGTGAGAAAATGTCAAACTAGAAATGAAATGGGTTGGATATAAATAGCTTTTGGAATCACACGGACACGGACGTGAATGACAAGTATAAATGGATCCCTTCTGATGGAGAGAACATCGACTGTCTGATCAGCTCCTTCCACGTTTAACGGTCAGATCCATTTACTATAAAGTTGCATGTCTAAGGCCTGTCCAGTCAGTCAAATTCTGTATCAAGTTTTTTCTTGGTCTGCCTCTTCTCCTCTTCCCTTCGAATGCGCCCTGTGTTATTGTTTTCTGAGAGACGGTTAGATCTGATTACATGTCCACAAGAATTTATTATCCGTCCTTTCACTGTAGTTAAGAAGTCTGCAGTTGATAAGAACTTGTTACCTGAATAAATTACGTTGTTCTCTTTTTCTCTGTGCGTACACCAGCGGTACACTCCAACGTAAAGTTTTAGTTGTTTGTCCACTTCTGTACTTTAGTCGTGTTCCAGAGCTTGAGTTATGCAGGCTTATCCATTTTACAAACCTGACTGAGGTGTATGCAGACTTTCGATTCTTCGCCTCTCAGGCAGATGCAGTTAGTCTTCGAAGTAAAAACTCCTAATTAGTCGACTTATACGACATGCTTGTGAGGGAGTTGTGGGTCTATTCATCCCCCCCCCCACACGCACACACTCACACACGCACACACACACACAAGGGCTACAGAACCCACACAAGGAATTAAATTTTGTCAAAGACGATTTTTGTCAAAAAGTCTGTAGTGAACCTCATTTTCTCCTAGATCAATTATGTCTAACTGGGACAACACGTGAGTAATGCTAACAGTCGAACCACGTGAATTATTATTATTCACAAGGGGGGGGGGGGTGCATAGAAACTGCTGGCCGAATGGAATTCGTGTAAATCGGAGAACACGAATTCAGAAGCACGAGGAGGGCATTAGAAGGTTACATAATGCCTTAGAAAGGGCTGGTGGTCACTCTCGTTTGGGTAAAGGAACGGAGTGCGTGGACAACGGTGGCAGGTGTGTGGATCCAACATGTGTTTGAGAGTGAAAGTCGTTCCAACGTTCAACTTGGCCATCTGGTCAGGCAGGCGACAAGATGTCTGCCGGCTTTGTTAGTCAGCGTCAGTCAGCTGTTGTTTTCGTTCATTGTACTTGTGGTAGGACGATTGTGGTTTCGGCTAAAAGGTAAAGTGATGTATTTGATATTTGAGTTATAATGTGCGCCTAGACAGTAGTCTATTTCATGTGCCAGCTGAGGAAGCCGCGAGTGAAAGAATAAAGTGCAGAAACAGTCTCGTGTGAGTCATTGCACAGTCATAGATTTTTGTCTTCTTCAATTCAACTGTTTCTATTCCACAGCTTTACCTTTAAGTAAATTAATGTTAACAATGTAAAAACGAACCTGTTTGATATTCTCATCTCGCGTGCTGGCTTTTTCATTGAGACAAGTTCTAAGTTGTTCTAGGGGAGTCAGTCGATCGCTTAACATCTGACACATGATCTGGAACTGAAGATTGACATTAGAACTTTAATTACAAAGAACATTATAAAACTCACCTTAGCTTGGCTGAAGACGACACTCATCTCTTTACACCAGCTAGTCATGTTGTTTACTCTTGCTGTTGTGTTCATGCTTGGCTGAAGACGACACTCATCTCTTTACACCAGCTAGTCATGTTGAGTAATCTTGCTTTTGTGGTCAGGCTTGTCTTGTTCTTTAACTTCCCCGTTTAATCCCAACTTCACACTGAAATCTAAAACCCGTGTGGTCTTCTCTTAATATTGAACTTGTAAAATGTTATAACAACAGAAGGCGGCAATGCTAGATGTGGTCAGATAGGGAGATGACACAAAGAAATTATAGAACAGTATTGACTGGAGAGGATCGAGTGCACTCCATCACTGTATTTGTTTTAACAACGTGGTCAATGACTTGAACATAAAGAGGCAGAAGAAAACAGACGCATTAAACACACCCTTAATCTGAAATTTCCCACACAAAGTTAATAATAATCTTACGTTAAAACAATTTGTTTGTTGACGAGTATATACTCACATTTGTCTCCCCTTTCTCAACCTGTTTCTGGATATCTTCCACATTTCTCCCATTGTCTGCTTCCAATGTCTGCATTCTTGTCTCCAGTTCTCTCAACATGGTCGTTTTCTGATCTTGATCTACAGATATGACCTTGATAGTTTCTGTGTTAGCCATGACCTTGTCTGCCAGGTCACGTGTTACATGTTCTATATCCTGATGCTTGTTGCTGCAGTCATCCATGATTCTACCAATTCTAGCATCGAATACATCGAGCTTTTCTTTCACAGACTCCAGCTGATCAGGCACGTGAACCAGTTTTTCTGTCAGCTCTACCTGAGATTCCATCTCTTCTTTAATTCTGTCTTGTGCCTTAGATAACTTCTGCAGCTGTTTCTCCAGACATTGTAATCTTGTCTCCTGTTCTTGGTCTAACGCAATTTGTGTGTCGTTAATCTCCTTGATTTGTTCTTTGACTTTTCTGAACTTTGAGTTGTTCTTCTTCTCTGACTCTAAAAGTTTGGACAATAACGCCTTCAGTTGTTCATCAATGTCACTTTGTTGCTCAGCAACTTTTTCTGCATTGCTGCGGAGGGAGCACCAGGCCTCTTCTATGACAGCGATTCTGGCTAAAACCGGCTTCAGTTGGTTTTCATCTGTGCCTAAAATCAAACAATATATTAATTATTTTTAACGTAAAGAAGCTTTTGTGTGTAAGGGTGATCAAAGAGAAAACTTATTACCTCGTGAATTTGAATAAGTAAATTTTTACAAGACAACCCATTGTTCTAGTACATTAGCAGACCATTTTTCTAGCGCCCAGATTCAAACTGGGTTTGTGTGTTTACATTATACAAATAATTCACATCTTTCAGAATACCTGTAGTTTGAAAAGGCTCTTCAATCTGTCTGTGTGATGCAGTAGTCTGTAGTGATGATGTCAGTTTGTTGTAGGATGTTGCTGAAGTAGAGGTTGTTGCTGCAATTGACTGAGGTGTCAGGTCAAACTGGTTACAAGATGTCTGTGAAAGTTGGTTGTCTGCAAAACTTCCTGACCCACCTGTCAGAGAATGGAGGCAACAAAAAATTACGTCCAACAATATGAATATTAAATGTTGAATTAACAGTCAATATCACAGCTCTAAGGACATTTCCATGAGCACGCCGTCCCCATCTTCAACAGCATTGGCAGTGTCAATTCCAGCTGCACAAGTAATAGTCTGATATACCCTCCTGACATCCCTCCCCCTTTAGTGTTGAGCGTCATCCAGATCTCTTGGTCAGCCCTCGCTGCCACATTCTCTTTCGACTGGGATCATCTGTTGGTACCTCCGCACTTTTGACTCGGTCCCAAAGGCCCTTACAACATCTTGCATGTCAAGCATTGGTACTGCAGGAATTCGGAATTATTTTAATCGCCTGTGTGTTTGCGTGTCTGTATGAGTGTGTGTGTGTAAGTGCGTTGTATATATGTCCTCCTATTTACTTCCATATACCAATTGAGCGCTCAGCACTGAGTCTGTAAAACCATATTTAATTCTGATTGCGAATGACACAAACTATAAATATTTGTCATGGGTAGTTTTGTTGTTGTCCACCTTTTTTTGGACAGCGGTGCATACTTTCTGCTGCGTTGTTGTCCACCTTTAGTCTAGACAGCGGTGCATACTTTCTGCTGCGTTGTTGTCCACCTTTAGTCTAGACAGCGGTGCATACTTTCTGCTGCGTTGTTGTCCACCTTTAGTCTAGACAGCGGTGCATAATTTCTGCTGCGTTGTTGTCCACCTTTAGTCTGGACAGCGGTGCATACTTTCTGCTGCGTTGTTGTCCACCTTTAGTCTGGACAGGGGTGCATACTTTCTGCTGCGTTGTTGTCCACCTTTAGTCTGGACAGCGGTGCATACTTTCTGCTGCGTTGTTGTCCACCTTTAGTCTGGACAGCGGTGCATACTTTCTGCTGCGTTGTTGTCCACCTTTTGTCTGGACAGCGGTGCATACTTTCTGCTGCGTTGTTGTCCACCTTTAGTCTGGACAGCGGTGCATACTTTCTGCTGCGTTGTTGTCCACCTTTAGTCTGGACAGCGGTGCATACTTTCTGCTGCGTTTCGTGTCCTGCTGCTGGATTCCAAAGAATGCGAAGTGTACAGGGGTCTTTTGTGTGTTTTGTCAATACCGGAATCGGCTAGAGGTTGATGACATTCATAAATTTTGATTACTCTTGAAACAGAAATAATTTACGACTTTCTGTTCGTTTTAGCTTTGACACATGTCGATGAACACTCGGGTATAGCGACGGCTGTCAGTTCATTTACCCTGTCAATATCTTACCTGATATTTCTTCGAATTTTCTCCATAGGAAGTCAACCGCAGAGTCTACCATTTGACATAACTCTAGGAATCCCATCTTGTTATCTCCCCCTTCTGTCCATGACTGTCCTGTCTGGATTATCTGCAAAAGAACAGACATTGTCAGAAGTTAGTCTCTGAACCATGAATGTGGAACAAGTTCCTCAACAGACATTGTCAGAAGTTAGTCTCTGAACCATGAATGTGGAACAAGTTCCTCAACAGACATTGTCAGAAGTTAGTCTATGAACCATGAATGTGGAACAAGTTCCTCAACAGACATCGTCAGAAGTTGGTGTCTGAACCATGAATGTGGAACAAGTTCCTCAACAGACATTGTCAGAAGTTGGTCTCTGAACCATGAATGTGGAACAAGTTCCTCAACAGACATTGTCAGAAGTTGGTGTCTGAACCATGAATGTGGAACAAGTTCCTCAACAGACAGAGTCAGAAGTTGGTCTCTGAACCATGAATGTGGAACAAGTTCCTCAACAGACAGTGTCAGAAGTTGGTCTCTGAACCATGAATGTGGAACAAGTTCCTCAACAGACATTGTCAGAAGGTGGTATTTGAACGGTTAAGGTGTAACAAGCACCCCAAAAGGCATGTCCAGACGGAGAGATGAATCCATAAAATGACGACATCTTCTGACAGATAACTTCTAGAAGAGTCAGTTGAGATGGCCAGAAATAATTTTAACTGCAGATTTCAGCATTACACTCATGAATAGCTGCCCACTTTGTTTTAATGTCCACTCCCACAACGGCGTTAGCATTAAGGTTAACTTTTACTCTGCAAAGTTAACGATACGCTCGTGTTAAAACTATGTTTCCGTTAGTTCATGTGTTTATGAGAGATGGAAGTAACCAGACGTGCAGGCGTGGTTTTTCACTTTATGATGCACATTCAACTAAGTAAAACGTCACTTTCTACGTTGGCACTTGTTTAATTTGCGCAGTAACAAGCTTGTATAGAAGACTTGGCCATTTCATACACCTCCCTTTAATCATTGTGCTAAAGAAGTAAACCAACGCTTCACTGAAGTCAGATCGCAAATGGACTCAAACGACTAACAGATATTAAAAACAAAAACTGTTTTGGAAGTCGCAGCCACTTCTCTAACTCAACAACAGATTTGCGTGCGCGCACATACATACACGCACAAATGCACATGAATAGATTAGTATGTCTTATATAAAAGTTAACTAAGCAATGACGAATGAGATAAGGGCGGGGAAGCGGAAGCAAAAGACAAGAGAGGAGTTGGAGATAAACGGAAAAAAAAGCATGATGAGAGTTGGAGCAACAAAACAACGAAAGCTTGACATTCTTTAGTAATGGCCATCTTTCAGCAATTTCTGGTCAGATGATGCTGGTCCCAATATGTTCATACAACTATCAGCAACAGTGTGAAGCGATCAGTACCGCGACAGCAACAATGTAAAGGGATCAATACCGTGATAGCAACAGTGTGAAGCGATCAGTACCACGACAGCAACAATGTAAACGGATCAGTACCGTGATAGCAACAGTGTAAAGGGATCAGTACCGTGATAGCAACAGTGTAAAGGGATCAGTACCGTGATAGCAACAGTGTGAAGCGATCAGTACCACGACAGCAACAATGTAAACGGATCAGTACCGTGATAGCAACAGTGTAAAGGGATCAGTACCGTGATAGCAACAGTGTAAAGGGATCAGTACCGTGATAGCAACAGTGTGAAGCGATCAGTACCACGACAGCAACAATGTAAACGGATCAGTACCGTGATAGCAACAGTGTAAGGGGATCAGTACCGTGATAGCAACAGTGTGAAGCGATCAGTACCACGACAGCAACAGTGTGAAGGGATCAGTACCATGACAGCAACAGTGTGAAGGGATCAGTACCACTTTAAGAACAATGTGAAGGGATCAGTACCGTGATAGCAACAGTGTGAAGGGATCAGTACCACTATAAGAACAATGTGAAGGGATCAGTACCGTGATAGCAACAGTGTGAAGGGATCAGTACCACGACAACAACAGTGTGAAAGGATCAGTAACACGACAACAACAGTGTGAAGGGATCAGTACCACGATAACAACAGTGTGAAGGGATCAGTACCACGACAACAACAGTGTGAAAGGATCAGTACCACGACAACAACAGTGTGAAGGGATCAGTACCACGACAACAACAGTGTGAAAGGATCAGTACCACGACAACAACAGTGTGAAAGGATCAGTACCACGACAACAACAGTGTGAAGGGATCAGTACCACGACAACAACAGTGTGAAAGGATCAGTACCACGACAACAACAGTGTGAAAGGATCAGTACCACGACAGCAACAGTGTGAAGGGATCAGTACCACGACAACAACAGTGTGAAGGGATCAGTACCACGACAGCAACAGTGTGAAGGGATCAGTACCACGACAGCAACAGTGTGAAGGGATCAGTACCACGACAACAACAGTGTGAAGGGATCAGTACCACGACAGCAACAGTGTGAAGGGATCAGTACCACGACAGCAACAGTGTGAAGGGATCAGTACCACGATAGCAACAGTGTGAAGGGATCAGTACCACGACAGCAACAGTGTGAAGGGATCAGTACCACGACAGCAACAGTGTGAAGGGATCAGTACCACGACAGCAACAGTGTGAAGGGATCAGTACCACGACAGCAACAGTGTGAAGGGATCAGTACCACGACAGCGACAGCAACAGTGTGAAGGGATCAGTACCACGACAGCAACAGTGTGAAGGGATCAGTACCACGACAGCAACAGTGTGAAGGGATCAGTACCACGACAGCAACAGTGTGAAGGGATCAGTACCACGACACAACAGTGTGAAGGGATCAGTACCACGACAACAACAGTGTGAAGGGATCAGTACCACGACAACAACAGTGTGAAGGGATCAGTACCACGACAACAACAGTGTGAAGGGATCAGTACCACGACAACAACAGTGTGAAGGGATCAGTACCACGACAACAACAGTGTGAAGGGATCAGTACCACGACAACAACGACAACAACAGTGTGAAGGGATCAGTACCACGACAACAACAGTGTGAAGGGATCAGTACCACGACAACAACAGTGTGAAGGGATCAGTAC